TCGCCCGGGATCGGAATAGCGATGCAGCAACAAGCCACAACAGACAGCAAAAGGCATTTGACACATCGGCAGTCGAATGGCGAACAGAGTTTAGTGGACACGAGGATCGCGCTCGCTCCTCCATATCGGTGGCTGTCCAGCAACTAGTGCAGAGGCTCTTACACGTACAGCTTACGGGGGCTCACAGATTAAATAATCAAGTCTTGGTATGTTCGGTAACAACAACTAGGGCGATGGTTACAAGAGTAGTACAGGAAATCGGAAAAAAGAGTAGAGTCGACTGAGGGCAACCCGTCCGTTAGACGAGCGTTTCCTGTCGACGGTAGAGGGGGGTATATCGTGCTCGTTGTGCGACCGCGGTTTAGCCCGTCCGCTGACAAAAGAAGCGAGTGAGAAGTCCCGAGACCCAAGCGTTCCCAATTCAGACTGGGATGATAAAAAGGAGTGACGCTCTGTCGACGACGTCATCGTAGACGACGGCAGAATGGAAAGCAAATCATGAGCGAATAGACCCGGGGAAAAACAGAAAGGGAGGGATTAGTGGATGCAGCGGGCGACTCTGCTCCGGTAGAGCGCAACTATTACGGTGCTCGCCGTCGAGAGCGTCGCTGCTGATGAGCACTGCGCAGCTGTTTAGCCTCTATCTCACGAAGGAGACGGGGAGAAAGACATATAAGACCCACTCGTTATGTCTACCCGTCGGTGAGCATAGTGCACATCCATCTCGTGGTTAAAGCCAAAAACGTAGAGGTTAATCATGGACGCCGATCACAGCACAAGCGATGATAACTCGCATACTGTTCATCCTCATGGCCCAAAGCCCGACGGTCTTCTATTAACGTCGGACGCCAACCTACTTCTTCCTCCTCTCTCGACCACAACCTTGTCCACCACACCTGCAGCTACTTCAGCAGCAGCAGAAACCGCGACACGACTACTCCTGAATCCTCCTCTCATGCAGGCAATCATCCCTGACGGTCCAGACATTTCGCCGCACTACAAACCAAACGGGCAACCTGATTTCACTAAACGATGGACAAAGGTACGCACCTCTCCTCTTCCTCTCCATCCACCTCTTTACAATCTGGGCTCGGGCATATGCAACCGTAGGCGGCGCCTCTGCTCAAGGTGCACCGTTGCAAGTGGCAGTCATGCGCCCTCCCCTACCAAAAATCCGCTATATTTCGTGTTCAAGATCGATTTCTGACTCGATTTGCTTCTTGGGTGTCTGATCTGCTTCCGATGGAACGTGCTACTACACGCGTCCGCTTGCACATTCTACTCTCCTGTGGCGCTTATGCTCATCCCGTTCTCCTTTTACGCAATCGGTCTCTTTTGCGGCACATCGACAATCAAATCATATTTACATGGTGGAATGTTGTCATGGGTAACACTGGCCTTTTCAATACCTATCTTTGGCGCGCAACTGTACACTTTGGGTTCTGTAGCATCAACCGCCTCCAGGTCCTCCCAC